TGAATCGTTTGTAAATACTTTAATTTCCAGATCCTTCCAAGTAATGGATGTAACATGGGAGGATTTGGAACATAGGCCCAATATGTCTTATTTTGATGTGTACTGCAGAGTGTACTTATCTGAGTGGCTATAATATTTAGTATGGCTAGAAATAGTAGGGGAGTTGTAGCTAATGTTCTCTGCTTTTTTGTAAATTGTTTGGCTCTTTCAGTTAGACAATCTGTCTCCATGTAGGGGGCTGTCTTTTGTGTTGATTTTGCAGTTCTTTTTTTTTTTCGCCTTTTTGGGTACTGTATCCAGATCTTCTTTTGCATCTGATTTACCAGTTTGTCTTCTATCATTTAGTAGTCGTACTAGTCGTGCAGGAATCCATACTGGCCTTGATGATGATTTTGGAAAAATGTAAGCATATTTTTGACCCCATGTTAACACTGGGTCAGGACTTTTCTAATCTCCTGACCTAAGACCTTTCCATTTATTATATCGAGGTTTAGCCTTTTTTAATCCCTTGATAGTGGATTTCTGCAGCTGTGAGGCCTTCTGGTGTAGAATTTTTAAAAATTCAAAGTATATAAGGCAAGAAAAGCCTTGAGTGAGGAGTTTTAGGGATTACCTCATCTCATCCCCCCTCTTTGTTTCCAGAGAGCACATGCACACTCTGGCAAAAGGAAAAAAAAGCAAATTTCAAAAAAAAGGAGGAGAAAGAAAATATAAGAAAGAAAGATGCTTCTTGTGTGAACAGAGTTGTGAATTCTTTTTTTTTTTTTTTTGGAGAGATTTTCACTGTAGGGCGCGTGCGCTCGCCAGACAGACAGAGAGAGACATAGAGACAGAAAGTGAGAAATCACCCCCCAGGGGGGATGGCCATGCCGCAATCCCTTCTCCATTCTCCTCTCAGGATCTTGGGCATGCACGCACACGCGCCCGGCGTGAATCTAAGCCACCAGGTCCGGGATTCGAACCGCAATCGACTACGTGGGAGTCCAGCGACATAGCCATTACACTAACTAATGGTCCCGAGAGTTGTGAATTCTTTTTTTTTTTTGGAGAGATTTTCACTGTAGGGCGCGTGCGCTCGCCAGACAGACAGAGAGAGACATAGAGACAGAAAGTGAGAAATCACCCCCCAGGGGGGATGGTCACGCCGCAATCCCTTCTCCATTCTCCTCTTGGGATCTTGGGCACGCACGCACACGCACCCGGCATGAGTTTTAAGCCACCGGGTCTGGGACACGAACCACGGTCGACTACGTTGGAGTCCAGCGACATAGCCATTACGCTAACTGCTGGTTCCCAAGAGAGTTGTGAATTCCTGAGACAAAATAAACTTTGTAACCCTACTTCCTTCCCATAAAAGAAAACTCCAAACTCCATCAATTTTGATCATGAGTTGTGGCTTTCTTAAGCTTTTGTTACCTCAAACTTTGGCACTTAACTAAACCTTTTTGCTTGTTAAGAAAACTTTTTTAAGGTTTACAGTCAAAGTTGCTACACTTAGAGAGTCAGATGACCAGACGTGGCCTTGGTAGATGACATTAGAGAAATCAGAGAGGGCTTCCAGTCATCTGCTTGTATTATTGTCCAAGTTTTCCTAACAAGTCTCCCTCCCACTCCTCCTGTTAGTCTTGCTGTTATCTTTCTCCAAGTCTTTGGAAACAGTACATTTTACTGTATACCTAATTCCTGTACCTTTCTCCCTTCTTGCCTCT